TTTTAAATTCGACAGGAATAAATCCGAAAACTTACCAGCTGACGCGTCTGGTCTGTTTTCTTAGTGAAGCTGATGTTAAAACCTTGAATGTTGGCTGATACAGATGCTGATTGGGCTGGCTTTACATGGTGAAACTTCCATGCAACTAGTTGCATAGTTTTTTAAATTCGACAGGAATAAATCCGAAAACTTACCGGCTGACGCGTCTGGTCACTTTTTCTTAGTGAAGCTGATGTTAAAACCTTGAATGTTGGCTGATACAGATGCTGATTGGGCTGGCTTTACATGGTGAAACTTCCATGCAACTAGTTGCATGGAGTGAGTTGCCTGCGACATAACTTCCATGCAACTTGTCAGTTAAATGAAGAAATCCAAAAACAAAGGTTTTGAATTCCACAGGAATTAATCCAAAACTTACTGGCTGACACGTCTGGTCAGTTTTTCTTACCGAAGCTGATGTTAAAACCTTGAATATCGGCCGATACCAATGCTGACTAGGGCTGGCTTTACATGGTGAAACTTTCTTGCAACTAGTTGCATGTAGTGAGTTGCCTGCAACATAATTTTTCATGCAACTTATCAGTTACAAGAAGCAATTCAAAAACAAAGTTTTTAAATTTGACAGGAATAAATCTAAAAACTTACCGGATGACGCCTCTGGTCACTTTTCCTTACCAATGCTGATATTGACACCTTGAATATTGACCAAAACAGATGCTGACTAGGGCTGGCTTTACACGGTGAAACTTCCATGCAACTAGTTGCATGTAGTGAGTTGCCTGCAACATAAGTTCCACGCAACTTATCACTTACATAAAGCAATTTAAAAACAAAGTTGCACACAACACATTTGATTACTCCACTAGTTAGCTGAATGTCATTCTTGGTCTTTTTTGTATATCTATTTTTTGTACGCCTTCTGGGTGAGGATGTGAATTTATAGGGTGTCAGATTAGAAGAAGCGGGGGGTTTCAGACATTTTCCTCCCCCCAAACTTCAGTTATAACATAACCACATTTATGTTTGCACACAGACTTAGTGCTACATCTGAGTTCTCTGTGTTCAGCTATGCTTCAGATGTTTGGCGATGCCTGATGTGAAGGATCTGTGTTAATTACACTGTCTGGGTTTTGCTGGTATTGAGTGTTTTGCTGGCATTCAGTAGTAAAAGTTTGAGTGAATGTTAATGCAAATACTGTGTTGGGTTGTGCTTATTAAGAAAGCAACAATAAGATATTCAGCTTGCAGTAACATTAACTGTCTGCCCTCCTTAAAATTCAGCAGCTAATGAAAACAACAAAACACACTTGAAAACCCTTCAAAATCCACCTCAAAGCAGCTGTCAACATTTCTCCTCACCTTAAAAAGGTTTTTTTTCCTAGTCTTCAACTCTAAAGCAGCACGAGCTGTTTGTTTAGAACAGCATTAGCGATGGTTGCATTCTTCACTGTGGACAGAGTTTCCCTTGAAGTAATCTCTGACAGAATTGATCATGTGGTTTCTGATGTTGATATACTACCCATATGGAAATGTGATACATGGCCATATATACAGATACATCATAAAGGATCAGTCATGTATTTCAAAATGTCTGAATAAAATACACCCGCAATGTACATGCAATCGAAAACCTTATACTGTATGAGAGGCAGCTAAGTAATATATACCATCCGTATAAGAATATTGTCTATCATATATTGTTAAATATGTGTTACGCATATATGTTTATAAATTGCTGCTGTCAGAAAAAAAAACAAAACAAAAACAAAACTCGTATCTCCAAAATGGTAACTTTACAGGAGAAGGAAAAAACATACTATACTTTTAATATAAGTCAATGGAACCAGACATTTCTCCAATTAATTTTGGGCCGTTTCTTTAAGTCCATTCATCGTAAAATTTATATACGATGTAAAGGAGAACAGATTTTTTCAAATTATGTCAAAAACTGAATAACGACAAAAATGGAGATACGAGGTTTTGTACCAACAGCAGTGAAATGTTGATATATGGCTGAAATATAAGTTGGAATGTAAGCTGGCATATATTTCAGATATATGACTTATATGAGTTGGATATATGGGAAATCCATATATGCTAACATATGTCATATATTTGAAATCCACATATTGCCACATATCAGATTTCTAGATGGGTGTTGCCTCCAAAAATGGACAAAGTGTGGACTAATATAACAATTTGCTTTTCCTCTTACAACACATGCAATGCGTCAGCTGTGACATTAGCTGACTCGGTATCCAGCGTTTACACTGGAGTTACGAGGCTAATTTAGCTTTGTGGCGAAAGGCATGCTAGCACAGCTAAAACCAGTCGCAGCCCTATTGAAGACTGAACTTTGTCTGTACTGCTGTCTATGTTTATAGATAACAGTGTGTCACAGTGTTGGAAACCACTAATCTATTAGAGATTACTGACCTACATGGTTGGAGGTGAGTGAGTGATGACTAAGGCTTACGCACAATGCTAAGACGCTAACTGGTAGGCTTCCATTACTTGTTTGCTACATTAGCCTCATAGCTCCAGTGCGAAACCTGAAGCAGTGGCATTGTCTGATGGACCGTTTTTGGGTTAATCGAGGGGAAACTGTAAATTTGATTTCTGTCATTGCTTCTCAGCAGTGCAGATGTCTACGGCTGATCCCAGCGCTTATGGAAAGGCAACCGCGTCCCTGGCAGTAGCTGTTGAACGCCGTTGGCGTGGAGAGATGAGATTTGACGAGAGATAATAATATTGTTCAGAACATTTAATCTCGTTTCTTACCCATTTGTTTTCCCCGAACGCGGGTGATGCGTCCAACGCTCCTCTCGGCCCTCCTTCGTATTGGATTTGTAAAAGCCTGCTGCTTCTCAATTTGGCCGATTTGAAGAGACAGATTTGTCCTTTAATCCAACATCCCTGTTAGCCTTGTTCGCACAGCAGAGGCAGTCTGCTCTAACCCAGAGAACTCACAGCAATCGCTGGAGATAACAAAAGCAGGCTGAGTTATTTCTCACTCACAGCTCATTGAGACAAATAGAGAAAATGTGTGCAAAGTGCTAAATCTAGCTTTTGATCCATACCACATTTGTGTTTTTAAGGATTCTATTACGATTCGAATTTGATTAAAAGTTGTTGTACTTCCACTGACTGGCCACTTTATTAGAAACACCAACCTCGTACTTCCAAAAACTGGCCACTTTATTAGAAAGCACCCACCTTGTATGTCCACTAACTGGCCACTTTATTAGAAACACCCACCTTTAACTTCCATTAACTGGCTACTTTATTAGAAACACACACCTTACATTTCCACTAACTGGCCACTTTATTAGAAACACCCACTTTGCACTTCCCCTAACTGGCCTCTTTATTAGAAACACCCACTTTGCACTTCCCCTAACTGGCCACTTTATTAGAAACACCCTCCTTGTACTTTCACTAATTGGCCACTTTATTGGAAACACCCAACTTGTACTCCACTAACTGGCTACTTTATTAGAAACACCCACTTTGCACTTCCCCTAACTGGCCACTTTATCGGAAACACCCACCTTTAACTTCCATTAACTGGCCACTTTATTAGAAACACACACCTTACATTTCCACTAACTGGCCACTTTATTAGAAACACCCTCCTTGTACTTTCAGTAATTGGCCACTTTATTGGAAACACCCACCTTTAACTTCCATTAACTGGCCACTTTATTAGAAACACCCTCCTTGTACTTTCAGTAACTGGCCACTTTATCAGAAACACCCACTTTGTACGTCCACTAACTGGCCACTTTTTTAGAAACACTGATGTTGTTCTTCCACTAACTGGCCACTTTATTAGAAACACCCACATTCTACTTCACATCTGCTCCTGCTATTTAGTAAAGCCACACCAGGACTCAGATTAGGTTAGATGGCCATGTTGTGCATCATCAGATGAGCTACTGAGTGTCCACCAGCAAGGAGCTAGAGGAGAGGGGTTTCTGATAAAGTGGCCAATGACTGTATATCAGGGCAGAAAATACAAAAATAACCCAAAGAAAAGAAAAAAAACGACTGACCTTGACTTTGAGTCTGGCTGTGTGATCAGCTGAGAGCTCGGACTGGGTGGGGGGATTTGGGGGTAATTGGACAAGAGTGTGAATAACAGAGCAAAGTGACTGACAGCAATGAGAGATAATTATTCAGAGTTAACGCCAAGTGTGGCCATGACGGCTCCAAAACAGCCCCGCTCGAAAATATACGATGGACGCTGGGGATCGATGAGCTGTGACATTTCAGAGATAACCCTGCAAGCGTCGTCCTCCACGCGCACACACACAGACGGGCCTGTGATGTATATACTCCATATATTACTGTTCTTTGTGAAGAGTACAGCTCACACACAGAGTGTTTCTGCTCATCAGTCATACAGAACTGTGTGTGCTGTGAAAAAGACATACATCACATTATATACAGTGTTACTGTGTATAACAATAATATTAATAACAATATTGTATATAACAATACAGATTGCATGTAATGTGCATGTGTATATATATATATATATATATATATATATATATATATATATATATATATATAGACAGAGAGAGAGAGAGAGAGAGAGAGACATATAAGGAACATACAATTGTCACATATATGTACCTGCATATATATAATGCAAATAGGCCAAATTATTATTACATATAGAAACTTACATACACCTTACATACACATTACATGCAATCTATATTGTTATATACAATATATAACATATATATATATATATGTATATATATATATATATATATATATATATATATAGAGAGAGAGAGAGAGAGAGAGAGACATAGAAAGAAAGACTAGAGAGGGTTATCATTACGGGTCCAAGCACCAAAGAGAACGACTGAGAGCTCCTCTATAGCTTTCTCTCAGTATATTTATGTTATGATCATTTTTCTTTCTCTTTTCATTCGGTATCTGTATTAATCTCTCCTTCCCTCTTTCTCTCCTGTGTGTTATAGGACAGTCCGCTGGTCCTCCAGTCAGATCGAAACGTAACGGTGAACGCGCGGAACGACCTCGGACAGCTGACTGGACAGCTCACAGTGGGTGAGTGTGGAACACATGCACTCCTACAGTTAATCATTCAGCTCGACGGCAAAGAATTTAAACCAATTCTTTCATTTATTCATTTAAAACCTTACTTAGAACTAAGCAAAACAGCCGCATTAGCTAACTAATTTGAAAGAAATACAAAGGGGTTCTGAAACGTTTGCATGCCAGGACTGGTGCCATTGGTCTTGAAGACCACTGAATATTTCATGAATTGAAAAACTTATCATAAAAGTTTTTGGCCCACTTTCACTCAATATTGAAATACTTTGTTTAACTGTAATTAGCGTTACTGCTAGCCTACCACACACTGTGTCATTTCATTTGAAATATCGATACCACAAGTTAGGTGAAAGCAAGCTTATTGACCCAAAATGACCTTCACTTAGCTCTGCTCTTACAAAACAAACAAGCTAATACAATATGATCTCCTCACAACCCTTAGTTTACATAGCACTTATATCACAACTAATGTTATGACACAAGTGGACTCGACACAGCTAATTAGCTAGCAAACATTAGCATACATAACAGCTAGCTTGCTAATGTTACCCTTGTTTCAGGGCAGAGTTTAGGGGAAAAAATGAATAATTACCTGTGTAGCAGATAAATCTGTTAATAAAACAGCTTTACTGGAATTCATGTTGGTCTAAGCTACTAGTTTATGCTGGTCTTGTGATATAAACTGAGTCTGTTCTACAGTTTCTCATTAGGCTGAATGAATAACTGGCTCTAAATGTAGGTATTGTGATATAAACTGAGTCTGTTCTACAGTTTCTCATTAGGCTGAATGAATAACTGGCTCTAAATGTAGGTATTGTGATATAAACTGAGTCTGTTCTACAGTTTCTCATTAGGCTGAATGAATAACCGGCTCTAAATGTAGGTATTGTGATATAAACTGAGTCTGTTCTACAGTTTCTCATTAGGCTGAATGAATAACCGACTCTAAATGTAGGTATTGTGATATAAACTGAGTCTGTTCTACAGTTTCTCATTAGGTTGAATGGGACTTTTACCAATGTTCCATAAAGAGTAGGAATTTCCTTTCTTTCTCTCTCTCACTGTCTTTCTCTCTCTATCTCTATCTTTCTTGTCTCACTCTCTTCTTCTTCTCTCTCTCTCTCTCTCTCCGGGAGGACAGTAAAGTGCTTGTTGTTTTGTATTAGCTATGGCTCTGTATGAAAGGAGCATCATGGTGGACTGTAGTTTATTCATATTGCTCACACATCAAAGTGAAAACGCGTCTGTTGGCGCCGCGCCGCCGTACGTGTGTGTGTACCGTGTCCCTCGCCGAGCCGTGTTTCTCACAGCCTGTAATTACGTACATCGCCACGAGCAAAGCAATTTTAATACAACAATGCGCGCTTTAGCTCCGTGGCTGAAGCTGTCTGCGGTAACTGCCTCTTTGATGTTCACTCAGAAAACACTGCGCTCGCTGCTTTCACCGAGCTGAGAGAGGCAAGAAATGCTGTCTTCCTCTCAGAGTGTGGAGGATATCGCGGCCCTGAAACACGCACCATTTACACTTCTGCTCATATCACTGTTTAAGTGCCTTTTTCAGTGTATGAAAGGGAATTTATCCCTCGAATGATAAACGTTTAAAGCTAAAGTAGCTCAACTGTAAGAGGCAGAAGCTGACGGTGATGGTTTCACTGGAAGAAAACCTTGGCATGGTGTAGTTTGGCTTTGTACGGAGCCCCACTGGTCACATCCTGTATGAATAAAAATAATGTGTGGCCACAACTTAGTAAGGCCTGAGAATGACATAATTCAGTCATGGCCACGACTTAGTAAGGCGTGGGAACAAGATCCTAATGCACGGCCATGACTTGCTAAGGCATGGGAACAAAATCCTAATGCTTGGCCATGACTTAGTAAGGTGTGGGAACGAGACCCTAATGCGTTGCCATGACTTTGTAAGGCGTGGGAACGAGATCCTAATGCGTGGCCATGACTTTGTAAGGCGTGGGAACAAAATCCTAATGCTTGGCCATGATTTAGTAAGGTGTGGGAACGAGATCCTAATGCATGGCCATGACTTAGTAAGGTGTGGAAACGAGATCCTAATGCATGGCCATGACTTACTAAGGCATGGGAACAAGATCCTAATGCATGGCCACGACTTAGTAAAGTGTGGAAACGAGATCCTAATGCATGGCCATGACTTACTAAGGCATGGGAACAAGATCCTAATGCTTGGCCATGACTTAGTAAGGCATGATTTCATTTCCATGCCTACTAGTTGTGGCTATGACTTAATTATCTCATTCCCACGGCTTAATAAGTCATAGCCACGCATTATTTTTATTTATATGGGATCCCTAGCTTTGAAATGATTAAAATGATAAGATCACATTATTATATTTGTTAAACGTTGAGTTATTTTGTGCAGTTAATCACGATTAATCACATAGTTTTTATGTAGGTAACGGTGATTAATCGTTTCATTTTGTGTAGCAAATTTCTATTTATTGCATTGCTGTTGTGTCAATGGTTAATCATATTATTTGTGTAGCCAATTTGATTAGTCTCATATTTTGGGTAATTAGTTGTGTTTATTCACATTATTCATTACATCAATCATGGATAATCACATTACTTTGTGTAGCCAATTCTGATTAATCTCATCATTGTAGGCAATTAATTGTGATTAATCACATTATTCGTTACATAAATCATGGTTAATCACTTTTTTGTGTGGCCAATTCTGATTCATCTCATTATTTTGGGCAATTAATTGTGATTAGTTATATTTTTTGTTACATGAATCAAGGTTAATTTTGTTGTCCACTATTTACTTAATCTTGTGTAGATAATTGCATTTAGTTGCATTATTAGGTGTAGTTAACTGCAAATAACTATTATTTTGTGTAGTTATCTGCAATTAATCACATAATTTTGTGCAATCACAATTAATAACTAACTAATTTTGTGTAGCCATTCATGATTATTTGCATTATTTTTTTGTAATTAATCACAATTCATCGCATTGTTGTGTCGTCAATTATGATTAATCAAAATGAATCTGATTATTTAACTTAATAATTGCATTAATCACTTTATTTTAATGTAATTATTTGCAATTAATCACAATGTGTGTGCAATCACATTATTATCCTAATTTTGTGTAGCCACTCATGATTAAATACATAATTTAACAACACTCAATTTAGTTTGGGTAGTTAGTGCCAATGCATCCCTTAATTTTGTGCAGTTTTTGGCATTATTTTGTGTAAACTATCATGATAAATTGCATTATTATTGTATCTGGTCAATCACGATTTATCACACTGTTTCGTATAGCCAGTCATGGTCATCATTCACGATCAATTGTTGTGTGTAATCAGTCATAATAAATTGCATTATTTTGTGTAGTCGATCACGATTAGACACATTATTTAGTTCATCACTTAATTTTGAGTATTTAATTGGGAGAATGTTGTTATTGCTCTCACTGGTCATCAGTGGTCAAAATTGGAAATCATGTGAATTTCACGTTCATAGTATGTTTACATGATAAAAAATATCATGTATAGAAAGAGAGATGAACATTAATGGCAGCCTCAGCTGTGGAGGAGCGCTCAGTCTTTCTAGTTCACTCTTTGGTGCTTGGACCCCTAATGATAACTTTCTCTAGTCTCTCTTTCTAAGCCTCTCTCTCTCTTTCTCTCTCTCTCTCTGTCCCTGAACTGGCTCTCAGTGACATTAATCTCCGAGCGGCCTGTCCTGTGTCTGGCTGTGTATTCTGATTGCCTCAGGAGAGCGAGGTGCATCGCTATAATCCGCCCCATATGTTCATATGAGTGATTCTGCAGTGCATTGTGGGTGACAGAGGGGTTAATGTGTCAGGAGTGTGACTCCATTACCTGCAGTCAGGTAATGGAGCTGTAATGCTCTCCTGGCTCCAGGCTCAGGGTTGACCTTGTATGGACGAGAGCAAAGAGTTGTAGTCCAGAGACATAAACTCACTGCCCACTCTATCAGAAACCCCAGCCTTGAACTTCCACTCACTGGCCACTTTATTAGAAACTCCTACCTTCTACTTCCACTAACTGGCCATTTTATTGGAAACTCCTACCTTCTACTTCCACTAACTGGCCATTTTATTGGAAACTCCTACCTTCTACTTCCACTAACTGGCCATTTTATTGGAAACTCCTACCTTCTACTTCCACTAACTGGCCATTTTATTGGAAACTCCTACCTTCTACTTCCACTAACTGGCCACTTTATTGGAAACTCCTAACTTCTACTTCCACTAACTGGCCACTTTATTAGAAACACTTTACTACTGTCAGCCAGTTCGTTAATTCTGGTCAACGCACTTGGTTAATCTGGATATGCTGGTCATGCTTAGTCATGTTGATCAACCATATTTCGTCATGCTGGTCATTCTGGTTGACCAGTTTGATTATGCTTGTCATTGAGCTTGGTCAAGCTGGTCATGCTGGTTAACAAGCTTGGTCCAGGTGTTCATGCTTGGGCATGTTAGTTGACTCACATGGCCATACTGGTCAATGAGTATGGACAAGCTAGTCATGCTTGGTGATGCCGGTTGACCAGCTTGGCAAAACTACTCAAAGAACTTGATCAAGTTGGTCATGCTTCGTCATGTTGGTCAACCAGTTTGGTCATGCTGGTCAGGTTAGTTGACCAGTACGGTCATGCTAATCAATGAGCTTGGTCGAGCTAGTCAACCAGTTTGGCCATACTGGTCAACAAGCTGGGTCAATCTGGTTGTACTGGTGAACTAGTTTGATCATGCAGGTCACCAAGCTTGGCCAAGCTAGTCATGGCTGTTTTTGTTGGATGACCAGCTTGGCAATGCTGTTCACAGAGCTTGTTCAAGCTGGTCCAGCTGGTGATCCTTGGTTATGCTAGTTGACCAGTTTGTTCCAGCTAGTTATGCTCGGTTAACCAGTTTGGTTGTGCTGGTTGACCAAGCATTAGTAGCTTGAACAAACTGGTCAGACCAAACTGGTTAACCAAGCATA